TTTTAAGCAAATGTGACCGACAAGCGTCAGCATAGAGGGATAGGAATGATATTAGTAGGAGCGAAGGGAAGGACGAGGTGGCAAATTATTGAGGGTTAAAAAAAGTAAATTGAAAACACTTTGGACCCTCTCATTAAAAATAATTAACATTTAGGGACCCAGAAAAAAAGACAATATTTTTTCATCTTTTCCGTTGTTCCTACTCTCCCGGGAGGCGTACAATAAAAAATGTATGTCCCATGAGTTGAAACAAAGATAAGAATCTAATAAGAAGAGAGCACGTGAGAAGGAGGGTGTATGGGCCCATTACATGACCCTAGCCTTTGCTCTCTTTTTCATTAGTCTATGGCTTTAACAAATACATTGATTGAATAAAAATTAAGATTCCCACGAGAATTTATTCGTCCTCAGTCACACACACACAGCTCTAGTAATGGGCCTGCTGCGATCCAGTAAGTTAAAGCAAAAGGAGGGAGTGGGGGGACCTTTCCCTTCAGGATAGCTTGCGTTCAAAGTGAGAGGAGAGGCACGTGGTGGTGGGGTGGGCTCCATTACCCTTCAATTTTACGCTCTGTCACTCTCACTTTCTCAGTCGGGACCCCCCACATTGGGCCAGAACAATCCAGACTGGGCTTTTGGGCCATATGGGCTGAGAAAGGACGGCCCATTTAACGGATATCCAACTGGCAGGCAGGCAGGCAGTTGATGAGTGGTGGGTCTGTAGCAGGATATCCAAAACCACAGGAAGCAGCCACTTGGGCCATAGAAAACAGTTTTGGTGTACAGTCTGGCCTACCATTTTAATAGGGAGCCCCCCATAACCGACGGAGCGTGTGTTTCACGCTCATCAATCTGTCCGTCCGTCGACATTGTCTGTAATGAAAAAGGCTGATAGCGATACAGCCAACAACCAATAATCTACAATTTTATAAATGGTGAAATCTGGTTTTGTCCCGCGTCGAAACAAATTTGTCGGTGACAGGCACCTTTCTTGCACAATAAATTCATCTCTACAATACGATTCCATTCCTTTTTCTTCTTCCTCAGGCCCAGATCCAACATCCCCGATTTCTTTAATTAGGCTTTGTTCATTGAACTTCCAATCTTAGCCAATCATTTCCTTAATCACAGTTCCACTAGTTAATCAAGGCAAAAAGCGGACAGATCTTGACTGATAGGCTCTATTCAGCTGTAGAGTTTTGGGTCTTTTTCTACCCTGGTGACCTATTACGAAGTTCCCCATCGTCACAATGTCTTGTCCTTGAGCTGGATCTTGGTTATTTGACTCATCTGAGCGTTGCATTTACGAGGCTGCTTTGTACTGCGCGAAATGGGAGAGAAATCGAGGTCTAGAGGATTTTGTGGATGGTTTCTGGTGTTGGTGATTCTTGGTCTGATCGCTGGTGCTATAGTATTTGCTGTCAAGAAGAAGTCGAGTCACTCTGATGATGAGCCTGCTCCAGTTCCGGGCCCCCCTGGCGCAATCGTGAAGAAATATTCCGATGCTCTCAAAATAGCCATGAAGTTTTTCGATGTGCAGAAGTGTAATATCTCATTTTCATTTCTGATTGATATTTTGTGTTTCTGTTTTCTGGATTCAAATGCTAAGCACCTAGAAATCTTTAAGAGTAAATGTCTGGCAACTATTCAATTTACAATGTGGACTGTAGTGCCTTGGACCTTGGCAAGGACTGGAGATAGTATGGAAAAGTGCCTACACATGAGATTTCATTTTTGTCGCAATGTTTTGTTTGTTAGTTACATGAATTTAGTACAAACTTATTGGTCTATTTGCAGCTGGGAAGTTGGTAGATAACACAATTTCTTGGAGAGGGGATTCGGGGTTGAAAGATGGAACTGAAGCGAAATTGGATCTATCTAAGGGGATGTATGACGCTGGGGATCATATCAAGTTTGGTTTCCCAATGGCTTTTACTGCAACAGTGTTATCTTGGTCTATCCTCGAGTATGGAGATCAGATGGACGTAGTGGGTCAATTGGATCCTGCCAAAGATTCTCTAAAGTGGATTACTGACTATCTTATCAATGCTCATCCTTCAGAAAACGTGCTTTACATTCAGGTAATGACGCTTGTTTACTCACATTATCGCTTTTGTGTGCTTGAATCTCTTCAATTGTTTTGTGAGTTGTGCATTAAATAACAATCATATAATCTATTGGTGATACTTTGCAGGTCGGGGATCCTGATATAGACCATGCCTGTTGGGATAGGCCTGAAACCATGACTGGGAAGAGGCCACTCACGATGATCAATGCCTCTTTTCCAGGAACAGATGTAGCAGCAGAAACCGCTGCAGCTATGGCTTCAGCATCTCTTGTGTACAAGAAAACTGATCCTACCTATTCAGACTTGCTTCTTAAGCATGCTGAAGAATTGTTTTCTTTTGCCGATGAGCATCGAGGTTTGTACAGTATCAGCATTCCTAAAGTCCAAACCTACTACAATTCAACAGGATATGGAGATGAACTTCTATGGGCTGCGAGCTGGCTGTATCATGCAACAGAGGATGAAACCTACCTTAATTATGTGTCTGGAGACAATGGGAAATTGTATGCAAAATGGGGAAGCCCCACCTGGTTTAGTTGGGATGACAAGCATGCAGCAACCCAAGTATGTAATCTCTTTTAACTTGGCGATAGATTCCTATCTATGTGGTCAAATGTGAAATTTTATAAATTTCAGTTGCCACCAAAAAGAAATATTGATGAGATTAGCTAAAGTTTGAGCTAAACAAAAGCTTTTTGCTTCAACATTCTTTCCATTTGATATGTTTCTTCTCAAATCATTGTAGCTGTATACGGTTTACAGCCTAACTGAACCCCAGTTCCCATTGTATCTAAAAGCTATTAGTGAAGAATATAACAAAGGGGAATAGGAACGTCTATTGGTTGAACCTTGATGAGAGGCAAAAGTTTAGATCGTTGTTTTAACTCAAGTCATATGCTGTAGGCTTAGACATAGCAAGCTGTCAATTTCCTGCCTAACCATATTATCTCGTTATTATTACCATCTACTGCTTAACAGGGGATTTCCTTGCGTTTGTAACTCCGTTTGGAACCAAGTCAATAACATCTTAACCTTGTCACTACTCTGCAATGTCTATGCAGGTTTTATTGTCTCGCTTAAACTTCTTTGGCTCCCAAGGTGTTTCAAAGTCAGTTCAAGTTTACAAGAAAACAGCCGAAGCTGTCATGTGTGGCCTAATCCCAGAGTCTCCAACCGCAACAAGCAGCAGAACAGATGGTAAGTAGTTTCTTCAACTGTGTAACGACTTCATAACATGAGATTTCATGTCACCCCTCGAATTAGCAAGATTGTAGCTAGTATTGTCCTCCTGAACTTCTTAATTGATTCAAGGACGTTTCTGGTACAGATGGTCTCATATGGGTCAGTGAATGGAACGCTCTGCAGCATCCTGTGTCTTCAGCATTCTTAGCTTCCCTTTACAGTGATTACATGCTTACCTCCAGAACTGCAAAATTTTCTTGCAGCGGGGAGACCTACACACCAGCAGATCTAAGAAATTTTGCCAAATCTCAGGTAAGCTAACTCTTTATTTAGCACAAGCAACATATGCTTCTCGAGTGAAAGTAGTCCTATTGATTTTAAGTTGGACACATCTATTTCCAGGCTGATTATGTGTTGGGCAACAATCCTATGAAAATGAGCTATCTGGTGGGATATGGTGGCAAATTTCCACAGTATGTCCACCACAGAGGTGCGTCAATCCCAGTTGATGCCACAACCAATTGTAAAGATGGGTTTAAGTGGCTCCTCTCTACCAAACCAAACCCAAATATAGCTTATGGAGCTCTTGTAGGCGGGCCCTTCCTTAATGAGTCATATGTGGACTCACGAAACAATTCCATGCAAGGGGAACCAAGCACATACAACAGCGCTCTGGTCGTGGGCCTGCTATCGAGTTTAGTGACCACCTCCTCAGCATTGCAATCCTTCACCTAATGCAGCTGGTATATATTTATATTCTATTATCCAAATTTGTGATCGTTTTATGTTTTGTAGCTTGCCATTTATTTGTGCTGAGAGTGTTAGTACCTCTTGCGAGTGAGCGTTTGCCTATCCTCTAACAAAAGTGAAGCCGCATAGTAAAATTAACCGTGTATCTGATGTGTGAAGTGAACCGAGCTGTTTTGGCACCTTTCCCGAACAATTATGAGTAATTTTTTATTGGAGATATATATATTGGAATTTGTTGTTGCCTTGTCTGTTCGGTTCATTGTTGCTGACAAGATGAGTTGATTTGGTATGAAAGGTTCCAAATGGCTATTGACAAAGTTGATGTCTGATGTCTCAGCTTGCCTATTATTTCAACTTTACAGATGTCAATGGCGACTTAGGGTGGCTCTTAAAACGTTCATTCTTTATGCATCCTTATCCTCGACATTGGGAGGGCTAATAATTTTGTATTTCAAAAGTTTTAAAGTCGAGTCCATTGATGCTGCTCTCATAGTGGCAGGCTAAAAAGATGCGAGTTTTTGGATGGACTTGGCAAAATTCTTCCGTCCACTCCAAATTTGGACTTAGTGGTCGCAACCACCCCGTTTCTTTTTAATTGATTCCAAATTAAAAGGCGTATGAGATGATGCCACTTATAAAATAGGTACTTTCCATCAAAATCAGTACTTTAATCATAAAGGCCACTCCGAATATAGTATGAGCGAATTCCCTTCAATTATAGATCATTTTGTTCCACCATTTACAGACATATTTACAAATTAATCTCATCTCATTTACCCAGCTAAAGTGAGTTGAACAGATCTAACAATTGAGAAAACATCAGGATTGTTATCTAGTTCAAGCTCTTCACAAAGACTAACTTCAGTGTTAGGTGATGGGTAGCATTGATTTTTGGAACATAGGACATTCTCGGTGATGGGTTGATATCAAATTCCTTATTCGCCACTTTGCATTCATGACGGGCATGACCTTATGCAATGCGTGTGGAACTTAGATATTAAAAAATCAACGATTTCTTGCTAATGATCCATACATACATAGTCGATCCAATCAAAACACGATTCAAGAAGTTTTGATTGATAAGACATATTTCTACACAAATCCTAATACAGCCAACTAGAAACAACTACTCTGGTGTCAAAAGCACAAAGCACAAACAGAATTTTGTTTCTTTCTTTTTATTTTTTTATTCTTTCGAGTGTCGAAATAAATGAGACTAAGTCAGCTGGCAATATCCCATTTTGATATGAAACCCATTTGTTTGTCCATCTATCGATCATACCAGCCGGCAACTCCGCAGTGCTTTGGTTTGTAATCCTTAGTCCAAGTCAAACAAAAAAAGAAGACCAATCTCAGTTCCATTTGGACTAGGCTAATTCCTGTGGGGGACCCAAGTAGTAGATCCTCCCCACGTGCAGGGGATATAGGAAATGTACCTCAAGCTTGCACATGAGTTCGTGGGCAGTCTGGGCGGAAACAATAATGTTACGGGCAGCTGGGGTGATAAAACCTTCTGCCACGGCTTTGTCAATGAACGAAAGAAGCGCATTGTAATAGCCATCCACGTTCAACAGCCCCACCTATATCATACAATACAATCAAATTGAGCGTCCACTGATTGAACTTAAAGTAACTTTAAAAGGGGAAAAAAAAAAACAAAAGTGTTGGTTATCATACGGGTTTGTGGTGGATTCCAAGTTGAGCCCAAGTTATGACCTCCAGAAGCTCCTCTAAAGTGCCATACCCACCTGCCAAGCACACATCATAATACCACTAAACTCTGTAATAGAGGGACACTCGACAGATTCAAGGATGAGGATATCATAAGGAAAGCGACCTGGTAGGGCAATGAATGCGTCCGCTTGCTTAGCCATCTCTGCTTTTCGTTGGTGCATGCCCGACACAGGCCTCACTTCTCCCACAGTTTCTCCGGTCAGCTGAAAATATTACTTCTTATATATTCATACTCCACAACCTTAAAATCTCAGAACTATCCTATCCATATTCTTCAATAAGTAATTTACCTCTCTTAACATCAGCGTCCTTGGAATCACACTGAAACCAAACCCAAATCATCGCCTCTGTTTTGTTAATCTCAGTATCTTGATAAAACCATAAATTGATGTCCAGTGTAAAGAAAAGTTACCCTAACACGTGGCAACCGCCATCATGCACAGCTTGGGAGACTAAACCCATCAGGCCGATGCTGCCTCCTCCATAAACCAAGTCAATGTTTCTTTCCACCTGTACTTTCATTAATACTTCTCTAAGTTTATCATAATCTATCAACTTAAGAACTTAAGTTAAAGCGACCACGACGACGACGTACCAGTTGTTGAGCTAGTTGAAGAGCGCCGAGTTGATAGCTCGGGTTCTTGCCGGGGCTGCTACCACAGAACACACAAATTCGTTTAAATCTGGACTTTGTGTTTGTTTCGAACACTTGAGTTTCCATCGTTTGAGAATAAAAGAAGAGGGCTCCCCATTTAATTTATACCCCAATAATAATTCAACACCCCCGACATATCACATCTCTTAAAATATATAATATTTATTTCTGCTGTCGTGTAAAAAATAATAATATTTATAAACAACGAAATTCACGTTGAAATTGTCTGCAAAGCAGTGTCCTAAAACGACATCACTCCGCTCCAACACGCCTTTTATCTTGATGGGTCCTCCAGCTTCATTTTAATACCCATTTCCCCCATTTCCTTATAATTAAATTAAATTTTGTGTTCACCCATGAGTCACCGAATCCAAGTCTTATCATTACACAAGATTCCTTTAATTATTTTTTTAATATAATGTATAAGCTCCACCGTGCGTCACATTATAAACTATGATCTAATCCGTATCTTCCAATGTGATATTAAAATAATAAAAAAGGGAAAATAAATATTATATATGGCCATTAGAATCGAGTATATGAACAGTTGAGTGATTGTAACCCAACCGAAGGCAGTCTCCTAACGACCCTATAATGTTTCTTAAATACCCATTATAATTGGATAAGTATACGTGTAAAAGTGTGGCAGTGGTGCCAAAAAGCGATTTTTAATTTATATATATATATATATATATAAAAAGATAAGATAAAATATGAAGCATTGTTACATTGTTACGTTAGTGGATTGTCGGGTGTGAGCTGCACACGTGGCGTTCCAGCTCAAATTCGACCAAATTCATCCGTCAAATAATTGATGTGTCCATGCCTAGTCAGCTCAATCAAAAATCAAATAAAAAGTGTATTATTGAATGCCCCAGATTTGAATCTTTGGCCCATCATCTTCACTGCATCACCTTTTCTTTTTTAAATTATAAGAAATTATTGACTTTCTGGATTAGGCAACACACGTGGACACAATGAATTGATTAATTAGTTTCAATTATCGCAATTATTAAAAGATTTTGTTGCAATAATGTCAATTATTTGTCAATATCAAATCATAAAATCCATACGATCTTTATACACATAGCCCGCTCCTTGTTATTTTTGGGCCCATGACCCGGCCCAAGACCAAAAACTAGTTGGTCCATCAGCCCAAAGTTATAGCCCATTCGTGTCCCTCTTTTTGGGCCAGGAATTTAATGACGTTCATATTTTGAAGTGTCACATCACGAGTTTTTTTGTTTTTTTATTTTTATTTTTTAAATTTAACTTTATTCTGAAAAGGCTGATGTTTCATAAAATAATCTTGCTTTTTTCTTGAGAAAAAAATAATACTTATTATTCGCTTCGAATTTTGTGCTGACTAATTAGCTTGCAAGCATCCAAGAAAATACTTTCCCTTTTAGTTCCCCCATAATTTAATTATTTTTTTTATTAAACTAGTTTTTTAAAAAGAAGAAAATAAAATAAATTACTTTTGAAGGAAAAAAAGAAAAGAAAAGAAAATACTCCTATAATATTTATATTAATGCAAAAAGTTGAAAAGATTTAGGGTATAAATCGTCTTTGAATCAGGTCTTGTGGGTGATAAAAATGGGTAAAAGGAATAGATTTAGAAGCAATGGATGTAAGCGTATGAGAATACTTTGGAGCCAATCGCGTGGGGCCGCTCAAAAACATTCGTAAAGGAGAATCGTTCTGCGCGTTGCTGTCGAAGAAGAATCGTTGGTGGGGTTTGGGACTATCATCACAGCCACAAGCAGCAGTGTTTTCAAACCGCAGGGAGAGACGATTAGCCACAACCAAAGCCACCCTCCCTATGCGCAAAGGGCCACAAACAAACGTGTGGATCTGTGGAGACGAGCCAGTTATCTTGGTTGCCTTTTCCCTTCCCTTTCCCCTTCCGCCATGTTTTTGTTCTCACTTCTTGTAGATTCAGCCACCGCATTTCTCCATTTTCGTCGGACCTTCAATACTATTTTGGCAATTTCAAAACCCATCTCCGGAATTTTCCCTTTCAACCGAAGATGTCTCTAGTCGCTAAGCTCCACCTCGCCACTTCTCCCCAAATCAGCCTCAATACCCTCCAAACTACAATAAAAAGAACACCTGTACCCATTGCCACTTACTATACCAAGATTAAATCCAAACCCATTTACGTTTCTGAGTCTTTGGGGTTTAGACCCGCAATGCAGGGCTATTCGCCTCGTTCTCTGCGCTCTTCGATCAAGTGCTCGCTGATCGAGCCTGATGGTGGGGCTGTTGTCGAGTTGATTGTGCCCGAGAGTGAAAGGGCTTCGAGGGTTTTGGAGGCCGAATCGTTGCCGAAGGTGAAATTGACCCGAATTGATCTCGAGTGGGTTCATGTCATTAGTGAAGGATGGGCGAGCCCATTGAAAGGGTTCATGCGAGAGGAGGAGTATTTGCAGAGTTTGCATTTCAATTGCTTGAAAATAAAAGATGGGTCTCTTGTTAACATGTCGCTTCCCATTGTTCTTGCCATCGGCGACGATGTTAAGGAACAAATTGGGTCCTCACCCAATGTGGGGTTGCTCGGTCCCAATGGAGATTTGGTCGGCATTCTTCGCAGGTTAGTTTTGTTTATTTAATCCCATTCCATCTTCGAGGTCACTGTTGATGGAAATGGCGTTTTGTGGATTTTTCTTTGATGTTTTGATCTGCAAAAAAGAGTTGTTTTCTTTTCCACCCTTCGTTTGGGCCTTCTTTTAGTTGGCCACCAACAATTCAAGCGATCAATTCCTCTTTTGGAATAGCGAATATGATATGACAAAATCCTAATTATTTAAATCCCGAGATATGTTCTTATACAATATTAATAGTCATACTCTTCCACTTGCTCGCAGCAACTGGGTTGATCATGAGGGATAATATTTTATTATGCTCTGCAATCTCGTTTATAACAAAATTTCTGGTTATTTGAACTCCCAAACAAAGCTGACCATCGTGATGATCTTAGATTGCGGAGTTTACAAATTCATACGCCTAATGTTGTTCATGTTCTGATTCATATATTTATGCCTTTATGGAGTCTTCTGGAAACTTTCTTTTATTTGAACACTGAGGCCAATATGTATTGAACTATGTGATCAAATTGAAGCCAAATTGTGTGGTTTTTCAGCATTGAGATATTCAAGCATAACAAGGAAGAGAGAATAGCTAGAACTTGGGGAACAACTGCACCAGGGCTGCCATATGTTGATGAAGTCATTACAAATGCTGGAAACTGGCTCATTGGTGGAGATCTTGAGGTAATAAACCCCATCAAATACAACGATGGACTTGATCATTATAGGCTCTCTCCGAAACAGCTACGACAAGAGTTCGATAGGCGTGAGGCTGATGCTGTTTTCGCCTTCCAGTTGAGGAACCCTGTGCACAATGGACATGCTTTGTTAATGAACGATACACGAAAGCGACTTCTCGACATGGGTTACAAGAATCCAATTCTATTGCTTCATCCGTTGGGAGGTTTTACAAAAGCAGATGATGTGCCATTGGATGTTCGAATGGAGCAACATAGCAAGGTTTGTTTTTCATATCAATAGTTTTCCAATAACATGATTCAGTTTACAAGAATGCTCCATTTTGTACATTCAAAAAGTAAGATCATTGCTATTCTGGCCTGCTTAGTTTATGTTACTTAAGAGACTTTCTATGTGTTTAGGTTTTAGAAGATGGAGTCCTTGATCCCGAAACAACCATCGTGTCCATTTTCCCGTCACCGATGCATTATGCGGGTCCTACCGAAGTACAATGGCATGCTAAAGCAAGGATCAATGCAGGTGCAAATTTCTACATTGTTGGTCGAGACCCTGCTGGAATGGGGCACCCAACAGAGAAGAGAGATCTATATGATCCAGACCATGGCAAGAAGGTCTTAAGTATGGCCCCTGGGCTTGAGAAGCTAAACATATTGCCCTTCAAGGTCAGTATCTCAGTGACCTTCCCTTCTCCTTTTCACACTTTTCCACCGTCCCCCTGCGTTTTAACACCCCCTTGACCGCAGGTGGCTGCATATGATACCATGGCAAAGGAGATGGCGTTCTTCAACCCTTCACGAGCAAAAGATTTCCTCTTCATCTCTGGAACAAAGGTAAGAGCAGAGTTCTGTTTGGACAGGATGTCATCATGACATACAGTATCTGAGTTGTTTGAACCTTTTGTCCATATGTGGTACTTTAGATGCGAACTTTCGCAAGGACCGGCGAAAACCCTCCCGACGGTTTCATGTGCCCCGGCGGATGGAAGGTGTTGGTGAACTACTACAAGAGCTTGCAGGCCGAAGATGCGTCGTCGCAGCAACCAGCATTGTCAGTTTAGGAAGATAGTACGAGTTGAAATGAATTAGTTTGAGGAAGCGGCCGGGGATTGAGTAGAGGAACACAATGCAACTTCAATTGTGGATAAACAAAGCTTTGTTCTATTCTCGGTTCTTTTATGCTGGTTTGGAATCCTTATCCTTTGTAATGTCTTTAAGATATTAAGATATGCTTGTAACAGTGAATTATTTCTTCACTTGTGAGATGATACAATCGTTTAAATTAAGTTGTTATTATTGCCAATATGAACATAGGTGAACGAATGGTGGAGTAAGATATGTAAATGAAGGGAGAGAAGAGGAGGGGTTATTTAGGGAGGGGTTTCTGAATAAAGAAAGAAAGAAGGGAAGGAAAAGGAAAAGGAAAAAGGAAAAGGGAGTGATTTTAGGTACATCCGGAAAGTACCTTTAGTGAGGGAGAAAGGAGAAATTGTTAGGGGTTTGAAGGAGAAAGGGAAGTGCAAATCCTGGGAGTGATCGGCATCAGCTTTTCGAGCAATTTGAGATGTGTCCCTTTTACATTCAATCACCAATCGTGTTTAAGCTTCACTCCAAAAAGTGCTTCAGAAAACTTCCCCCAAAATCCACTAGCAGGAAGGAACCCCATGAAAACCAGGGACAAACCTAACGTGGAGCTCATGTGATTACCATTACCAAAATCCTGTCACTTTCTCCTGTTTACACACATACAAAATGGCTTCCCGAGCGCCTGCCTTTCGGTGTCATAATGA